GAACAATGATATATATTAACGAGAACAATAAAAAAATGTGTAAATGTGAGGTAAGAGGTGATCACAGCTTTGTTTATACCAATATGATTTGAGTGTTGTTGCTCTTAACACGTTTTAGTTCAGTTTTGTGTATATTTCTTTTTCATTTTCTCATATGAATTAACCTGCTATTTGCTCAATACTTTATATTTCACAAGGTTGTTCTTTTCCAAATAGTTTTTAGAATTTTCCTGAGGTTTTCCTTTTTTTTGTAAAAAGAGTAAAGATCTTTGAAATTTTGAGCAATTTGTTGCCTCATGATTTACGCCAACAGTGTGTTTACTGGGTTGGGTGTATAGAGAGACCTAAATAGATCAGACGAGAACAGTTTGAATAATTGATCAACTAATTCTTTAGATTCGTGACCCTAAAGCCCGTCCCACGTGCCAATGTGCTGCTAGGAGCACCTGGTTTGGGGTATTTCCTTCAGTAAACTTTTCACCACACCGAGGCATTTACGCGATATTAGTGAGGAGCAATAACTGGGCTCAGGTAATATGTTTTCTCCCCAGGAAGTCATATCAGATAGTGGTTTGGACTCAACATTGAGCTGCAGTGTTTGCCCACCTTGATTGCCTGAAGAAAAAAAAGATCTGGAAGCTTTATTGCTTTCAAAAGTTTTCAAATAAATGACAGGATAGCTGTGTGGAAGAGCGCTTTGTTTTATAGCTATCAAACTGTAACTGTTTTATATAGTGGAGGAAGATTCTGTAGAATGATGGTTAATACCAGCAGTGAGTACATTTCCTGTCATTCATTGCTGCGCTGCCAATTTTTCTACTGTGGATATTGCTAAAGACTGTTTAGATGCAATGTTTACTGTGAAGCATCTAGCCTTTAAATTTTTTATTTGACAGTTGAATTACTTTTAACTTAGATTTTAATTAGATTAATTTGGTAACTTGGTTCAACCAAATAGTCTCTGTAGGGTCTTTGCCATGAAGGAACACCATCAGCACTTTTTAACAAAAACAATCAAGTAATGAAATAAAACAAGAGCTGATGCTTACTTACTTGCAAAAGATGAAGTTCTTGGGCTTTTGCACATTAAAAAAAGGAAAATGTGTTACAAGTGCTCCCATTAGACAATAATTTAAAGAACTGTCTTTGATCGTACATCTTTGTCTGAGGTCTTTTTCTCCAACAATTAAAAAAGGTCAACATGTCAGCTGTGGGGGACTCCTTACCACTCCAAATATGCACACTAGTATAGTTTACTGAAGCCCATGCGTGCTTTGCGATGATGGAAACTAGAAATATGAGCAGGGATAATGTGGCTCTATCCTTTCAAACATGTGCAGCCCTTGTTTCTATTACACCAAAGAGGTACACTAGGAGATATTATTTTAAAAATCTCATTACTTTTAATTTTTCAGTTAAGGCTTAGTAGCATTTATTGGAAGGATTTTCCTTTGGAAATGTTTTTGGTGAGCTCAGCACGAATCCACTGAATCTTAATGAAGTAAAGTTTGCAGTTTCTAGTTCTATTTATATTTATGTTTATCTTTGACTATTTTCTTCCAACTCTTGATCATGGCCTATAATTTTTCTTTTTACTCTTGAGAGACCCAGCTCCAGCCTGGAAACCCATTCATTAACATACTCAGAGTAGCCAAGGTTACCCAGAAGGTAAATTTCTTATAATAACCAGAAAACAAGCACAAGTTAAACAGCTTATAATAATAAGCCTATTGGTGCATTGCTTAACAGCAAAGACTGTAAACATATTATAAGCCCACAGCACTAAACTGCATTCCCTAAGAGTATTTTTCAGCTCTTTACTTTATTTATACTGAATGGATGTTTTCCAAAACAAAGAACAGGCTGTGAATGAAGTGATTAATATCCTGGATCAAATAAAAGGCATGGTTATAAGAGCGGCTGCATAAAGATGTTGGCTTCCAAATGTGTGAGAGCGTTACATTAGCTATCCAGAAACCTTCACCCTGCTGACTGAGTGGCTTTGACACAAATTCCTGCTCACCCAGGGGAGAACCAACAGTCTTGCCTCAGCAACTGCTGTAGTTCCTCCATCTCAATGGTCCGGATGAACAGGATACAATAGACAGGCTGCAGGGCTGAGGACAAGTGAGAATCTACATCTATAAAGTGGATTGTATGCTCAAGAAAACTACAACTAACCATCATTTTAGTGACATATTTTTCTATTTTATATCTAGCCAACTAAACAACAGAATTTATAATCTTATTAGCGATTTGAGACTACTGTTCATTATTGTTGTGGTTATCGCTCTGTTTTTTGTCAATGTAGAAAAAATTTTGACCCTTCTGCAGTCCATACCAACACTACAGACACAAGCATGGCATTTTCTGACCAGTTCATACATATAAATATACCTAATCATAGCATGTCAGCTTAATTACATAGTTAACTAGATTATTTCAGACTCTAGGGTGATATATTATCTTAAAAATGCCAAAGTCCTACTAATAATTCAATTTAAATTGCATTTTATTTTTTAAGACTCTGGTTCTATTTTGGACCAATTACCCCTCAATGAATAAGAGAAATTATGCCTTCTTATCAATCTATGCCATATTGATAATAATTATTATAATAATAGATCATTTTCATTGTATGTACACTTTCATATAATAGACTGTATTTTAATCAGAGAAAAATAAATCTTAAATCATAGTTGTTTTCTGCAGTTGTAATGGTACAAAACAAACAAAATGGCAAAGAGTCCTAATAATCAGCGGCCATGAAAATACATTTTTCCACTTAGACAGCCGAAAAAAAACAGGAGTTAACACTTTTATATTTTTTCTTTTTCTTTTTGCTCTTTTTTAAAGGTTTACTTTATAAACTGAAGTTTTATATTACATATCATACATTAGTCCAGTTACTGCTCAATCTTCTAATCTGCTTATTTGATAATACATTTTCTGTATATAAACTACATATTTCAGACGTTTCTGTGTCGCTGTGCTTTACGTAGCCAGTACTTGTTTTTCACATTTAAGCAGTTTGTGATATGAATAGACATTTAGCCTTAGAGTAAAGTCTGTTTTACATTTAGATTACCGACCCTTTAGTTGATTTAAGTTAAATAATAATTTGTAGTCTCCAGTAGGATAACATTTATTTTCTAGACTAACTGAATTATGCTTTCAGAAGATATAGGCGCTGTGTCTGATATGTAGGCAGCACACGGAGTCACGCTTCTTTTCTGATTGCCAGTAATGCACTGATGTAGTCATCAACCCGTCTGTAAAGTGTGAAAAAAAACTCAGAAAATCCTTCTGAGCTGCCACAGTCTCAGAAAAGTGCAATCATTTTGTCTTCAAAACCACTTCCAGCTCAGTGCACTTGAGCCATCATGTTGTTCCCCTGAATGTGAATTGAGCTCAAACTGCAGCTTTATTCCCAGATGGAGGCGGGTGGAGCGGGGTGTGCTGAACAGAGATCATCTTTTTTAAAACATATTGCAATGACAAGGATTTAAGCAGAATTTGATTTAAGAAGTCAAGTAAATAACTTCTTTATTAATTAGCCATGATGTCCTGAATGTTTTAGTGAAAAATCTTTTCTACGGCAGATTGAAGGAGGATTATTTTAGGAACAGGTCAATATGAGATTATGACATAATGACAACATCAAGGAAAAACTACAGAATTACTGTGTTAACAGGAACATTTCGAACCCAACTATTAACTTAGTACTAATTTTATAGAGTAGTTAATGTCTTTCTGTTCTGGTCTTTTATGAAAAGCTCACAATATCAAGGATAATTAGGTGCAGTGGTAGTACTTTTAGCCAGCTGACTGGCAGTGTGCATCAGCAGCTGGGGAGGGGGGATTACTGTCTTCCTTTTTACCAAGTACAATAAATCTTAGATTGGAACTTTAGTTTAAAAACTTGGTAATTGATGCTGATTGTAACAAGCAGAGATCTGGACCTTTTCTTAAACAATAATGTATTTTGATTTGACTTTGGTTTCTTGAAATGACTTTACTGTATGAAACTAAACCAGGAGAATTAAAATATTGATCAATGTTTTTGGTTCCTCACATCATTAGTATCTGACTTTTGAGTTGACCTAGGAGGTGATGACTTGGTCCCACCTTTAGTAACCAGTCTATACCTACAGTTCATATCCAGTGATGTGAAAATGTATTTACCCATGTAAATGATCAGGCTAATATGTTTCAGATCATTTAATGCATTTTCATTTTGAGTCCCATAACCTAAACCTTGTTAAATTATTAATTTACTGTGACAAAAAACAATTTTTGAACATAATTCAGTTTCACAACCCTCATCCAGGCCCAATTAGTGCCTGACCTGTAGAAACAACCTGTTTGCCAACATGAAGTCGACAGATCCTGATGTAAAGATGAGAACCAAACTCTTCGCCATTTGTTAGTCTGCAAAGGGGTGCAAGCAGTTTTTTAAAGATAATTTTTTGACCTCTGGAGAAGCACAGTTAAAGGGACTATTTAAAATAGAGAAAACCATGAGCAGCTATTAAAACCATCACAGGAGGTGCTGGTCTGCACAGTTGCTGTTTGAGCGCATCAATGCCTTTATGAAAGAGAAGCAAAAAACACTGCTTACTATTCAAGACAAAGGATTGAACCGCTGGCATAACAATCTACAGCTTAGGGAAGCTAATCTATTGACTGACGATTAAGTGGATTTTTTTGAAGGAGTTTATGTTCTCTTAATTGACAAAAGTAAAAAAAAATAAAATATTATACTGAGCAATAAACATGATGGTGGTAGTTTGATGATCCCCCTCAAATTTTGTTAAAATAAAATGACAATAAAATACATTGAAGATTGAATTGAACTTCCTGTGCAGCTTTTTAAAAGCCCACTTACCATTTTTACTGAAAAGAAAAATCACAGATCAGAATTGATCCGCAGACTGTTAATCTCTGCTAAACATGCTATGAACTATAACAATCCTGATTTTTCTCCATTTATCCACCAGGAGAACGCTGTGAGCTGTCATCCCGCTCAGGCCGCTGCGCTCCAGGCGTCTGCAAGAACGGAGGAACCTGTGTAAACCTGCTCGTTGGTGGCTTCAAGTGCGAGTGTCCCCCAGGAGGCTACGAGAGACCCTACTGTGAGATGACCACTCGCAACTTCCCCCCAAACTCCTTCCTCACCTTCAAGGGCCTCCGCCAGCGCTTTCACTTCACCCTCTCCCTCACGTAAGCTCCTCTAACTCCTCTTGTTCACTCCTGGAGCACAGATCCATCTGTGATTCACACTCCACCCACCTCCGCATCACACACAGGGTAGCTCTCACCTCCACTGATGGGTGCTCAGATTTACATAACCTTAATGGAGGTAAATGACACTAATAGCATAACTGGAAAACTGTCATCTCATGTAGGGCTACTTCAGAATCAGAGGAGACTCTTGTATTATAGATACTCAACCATTAGAGTCAATTAAGTGTTTGATGTGTGCAGCTTATGGTAGAGGGGGAATCTGAAAAGCTTTGTTTTTGGACAGAGTAGTTACATAAGATGAGGATGCTAGTCCCATAAAGTCGGGTCTTATTACAGTCACTGTGTCAGTCGTCACTTTGAGCTGTGAGTCAGAGGCTGGCCTATTTCAGCACAGTCTTCCTCACCCGGGCGATGACTGACAGAAGCTGTCTTATCATCTTCATCATTATTTTAGTTGCTCTTACTGGTGATTTCTGCTTCTGGTCGGTCTGTATAACCCTACAGCGAAGACATCATTGTATAATGGAAGTGTTATTCCAAGGCAGGGATATAGTTGAAGTGAAATTATTTAATCACTCCAACCAAATGAGACTTAAACAATGTTTGACAGTAACCTTGTTATATTTTGTTGATATATGGTTGCCATATTAAAATCTGATAAATTTAGGGCTGAAGCAATTAATCAGATTAATCATGTTTAATCTATTGTTGAAATAATTGTTAACTAATTTAGTAACCAATTAATCGTTAACTAGAGTATAGAGACCCTAAAACGTGTCTTTAGCAGAAAGAGCAACCCACTATAGGAGTAATTATACCAAAACTGTAAAAAAGAAATATGTATATACACATTTTGGATTTAAAAAATTTTCTTGTCTGACAATATGCTCTATCCAGAACTCCTTAAGTGGAAAAGTTTTGGTTACACCTGGTTTAATTTCATAAAAATATTTCTTTGAAGAACCTTTGGCGATCAGATTATTAATCGATGAATCGATAAAGTAATTGAGAGATTCATTGATTTACAGACCCTGTAATTAATAGCATCCCAGCACTAGTAAAAACAATAAATTATTTATAAATGTTATTTAGGTACCAAAACTCTTAAACTGGACACAGGCAGGGATTGTTGAGAAAGCCAAAAAAACAGCAGAAAATGCTAAATTAACAGCATCACACCTGCAAATGCAGCTAAATGCATTTACTGTCTGAAAATTGTACAATGCGAAATTTTGTTTTGTGTTCACTATGTGTATACGTAATGACAGTAAAATTTGTCCAAGTCTAAAAGAAGATCCACTTAGGAACATTTGAAGGTTGTTGTTGTTAATCGTTCAACAACATGTTGTTGTTACCTTCAACATTCTTTGCTTTGCTTATTTATACAGAGCTGATATGGTTGATATGAGATGGTTTATTAATATTTGTGTTTTTTTGTTTTGTAGGATGAGGGTCAAGATCCAAAAATGATTATTTGTGTAGAAAGTATTAGGCCACATCCTTCAGGTTCATGATCATTAAGTTGATTTATGTAATGTAATGATTTATTCACTTGCGTTGAAGGATAAAAAAAAGATATAACCCTACCTTTCATCAAAATTCAACGGAACTGGAGAACCACGCCACACAATTTCCTAAAGGGACAGCCGGAAGTCCCGCCTCAATTAATATAAAATTAATACTAAAGTTATTATAAATTAATATAAAGTTAATTAAAATTAATTATAAAATTAATATTAAAATTTATATAAAGATTAAATATAAAATTGATATAAAAAAAATGAACTGATGTTATTTTAATAACGGTTGTAAATGATGATTGAACAATTATTATTTTTAGTATTTGTATTGATTTCTATATAATCACTGTTGAGCATTCAGCCCTCTTTGCCTGGCAGGGCAGGCAGCTGTTGAGCAGGCTTGTGATCTCAACTCACTCACGAATCACGACAGTGCAGTCTATCTCTCAAACCAACTCCCTCACGTGTCGATACAACTTCCTCCAACCCTCTACCACGTCGAGGCTGCTACGCGGCTGTGGCGGCGTACAATCCCTCACCTCTCCTGTGCCTCACTGACTAGAGACCATAATATCGATATAACTAAATATATCATAAAAAACATATAGATATATATATTATAACGAAATCTATATGTAGATATAATACATGCGCACCAAGTCATGATGCATCATGTATATTTAATACGGCCTCTAATAAAAACTACACAAAATGTGTAATTTTGTCCATGATATATATATACTATACGATATCTATATGCTAAGAATATATAGTACTCAACCACTCATGATGGCACATGTATAGGTTTTATCGGTCTATTAAAAAACCCTTAAATGTGTAGATTTTGTCATGATATATATAGAATACTACCTAATGAGATATCTATAATGTAGATATATTACTACAACCAATTCATGATGCACATGTAAATTATTTCGGTCAGGGTATACCTTAAAAGAAACCAGTAATGTGTAATTTAATGTCGCATATCATATCTACCCAGACGGTTTAAGAAAAGCGTCCCACATGCGCAGTAGAGTACTTCAATAACGGTACACTCCCAAGCCGAGGAAGTTTAGGTCGGCATCTCAGCATTCTTTCTGCAAACTTAAAAATCACAATCTTTTTAAGATGGTTAGAAAAAAATAAATACAATAAAATGCTCCCTACAATTATCATTCCACGAAACGCAATGGTTGTTTGTGATTTCTAGGGCTGCTCGCCTCAGCCACGCAGTGTTTTGTTGGCAGTGGAAAAGATCTGGTTCACTTTAGAGCTGCTCCGTGTGAACCGCAACCTTTTCTCCAGTCTAAGGTTGGTGACCTTAGTGGAGCCGGCTGACCAGTGGCATGATCTATACAAAAGCCTCAGTGATCCGTCAATAAGGGTCCTCCTGAGGTAAAGGTTGCAACACGCAAGAGGAGCCTGCGGAACCCACCCACGCCTACAAGTTCGTGTATCTAATTTGAAGCGATAGACCTTGTTCATCCACTCAGGAATAACATTTAAGTAATAGGTGAGCTTAATGACGGCTGACCCGGTCTTTGGGCTATATCTATACTAAAGAAGGCGAAGTGTCCACCAGAGGAACTCCGGACCTTGGAGACGGGTAAAAAATACACCCACTTAAAAAATAGCTATGAGGGACTCTTTGGGCGGATTCCATTGACCATCGCACGAGGTCTGAATCAGATCTCTTTTCTATACGGAAGAGATGTGTCAGCGTCTTATATTAGATTTGCGGATACACGGCGTGGGCGTAGTCATTAATATACATTCAAAGTCGCGTATCTGTCTTTGGCAGCATCCTGATTGATTCAACTGATAGAGTGAAGCCACATCGTGCACGATCTGAGCCACAAAGTGTCTGAAACACAATATGTTTATACAAGTTATGTTTTTGTTCACTCAACTTCACATGGCGCTGGGTTTGTTTAAATAGACAGAATGCCTTTTTTTTTTCTTTCACTATTCAGACAATTGATCGTGAAATATTGCTATCGTACATAACCTGATAGATGACAGTCTATGGATTGGGCAAATGTTTGTAGCGTTCTGCTGCCTGAGAGAAAGATTTTCTGCTTTTCTCTTTGCCTTGTCTCACAAGAGAGGCTAACTTTGAGCAGGATCGGTTTGTTCAGCTCTACTAAAAATTGTATCAATAACGGATAGTGATATTTTGTATCTAAAGGCTTATCTATGCCATATGTTTTGATTATACTTCTTAATTTAAAACCAACAGATTTGGCCAAAAACTTATAAGCTTGTTAACCTACAGAATAATTGTTCTCGTACCTTTTTTTTTTTATAATTTTTTGTATTAAATCTCTAATTTCTTCAACATTTATTTCTCATAGCTGATCATTAATCTTTTTTCAATCTACTCCCTAGATTTTTTTGTAATTCTAATAATAATGAAACTTTGATATGTGGGCAAACTGACTAAATTGCTTATCCGCATTCCTGAAGCAGGAAACGAAGAAGACTCTTTGGTAAAAGGTCACCTGAACCTTGTTAACCGGTACGATTTTACAGATATATCAGTCTATATAGGTTATGTTCACTTTTATTACTGATGGACGATAGCTAATTAATCCTAACAGTCATCGTTTTTGGACTGTTGTGAGAGGAAGTCTGGAGTTCCTGGAGAGAAACCCGACCCAGAATGCTCAATGGGCATAGATTTAAAAAAAAAAAGGTAATTGCATACAGTATTCTGGCCTATAATTTTTAGTTTGTCGAAGGACCAAGCATTATTAACACGATCTCAACTCTCCAAATGTACTACTGTCTTCTTTAGTATTTATGTAAAAGAGCTTTAAAAAAATCAAAAAATCTTCTATTCCTTGTTATTCTTTTTCTTTTTTTTTTTTAAATGAAAAGCAATCCCTCTGTCACATTTCTGTAAAACGGGAGGACATTTTAAGTGCTAAATTTGATGGCAGCCATCTGAGCGAAATAGAAGCTATTTCTCTCATCTTACGTCTTTCATTTGAAGGCAGGGGTTTGAGCATCAGATACGCTTTGTAAGTAAACCTGTGTGTTGGGGTGACTCGCTTTAAGTTTTGCAATAGCCTCCTTGTCCACATTATTTGTTGTGGCGTGGCTCAAGCCTTCTGGGATCTCTTAGGTCAGTCATCTTTTTAGCAACGCGTCTGATAGCAGAACTTAAAACTAGTTGAATATTTTCCAGCCCAGATTCCCTTATCATTTTTCTATAAGCCCTACCAAAGGCTCTCTCGTTCAGTTTTGTTGTAAGAGTGAGTTCCTGTCTTTATGTGTCATTACAATAAATGTCCAGGCAGGCAGAAGTGCTAGTTTTGCTACTCTCATTTGCTATATTTCTTAAAAACAAATCTGCATGTTTACAACCGCTACATTTGCATAAGAGTAGATCTGTCTAAACCTTGTGCTTTATTATTTTGGAAAAAATATATTTTTAGATTTCAGGTCTTT